TGCTGAGAAGCCTTGTTGTAAAGGGTCTTATTTGGGCCCGTTTGGTTTGTAGGGTACTCCCAGGCAGCTTGCTGCTGTTTTCCAGAGGGTTGTTTGGGCAGCAGATGCATCCCAGGGCACTGACTGCCTCTTCCTACATGGAAATGGGTTCCACAAGCTGCAGGTGGGAGGGGAGGTGGCTGCTGGACCAGTGCGTGGTAGGAAAAGCCATTGCATGGTGACAGGGATGGGGTTATGAAGTTACTGTCAGTTGTGTGAGGAGATGGGCCCCAAAGCCTTCCTTCCAGGGCCTGGTCATCCTGCTAGGCAGGATGGGGCACCTCATAGAATCACAGAATGCTGAAGGTTGGAAGGGACCTCTCCAGGTCATCTAGTCCAACCCCTGCACACGCAGGGTCACCTAGAGCACGTGGCACAGGACTGCGTCCAAGCGGGTTTGGAAGATCTCCAGAGAAGGAGTCTCCACAACCTCTCTGGGCAGCCTGTTCCAGGGCTCTGGCACCCTCACTGTTGAGAAATTTTTCCTTAAGTTCCTGTGGAACTTTTGGTGTTTCAGTTTGTGGCCGTTTCCTCTAGTGCTGTCGGTGGCCACCAGTGAAAAGAGGCCGCCCCATCCTCCTCACTGCCTCCCTTGAGGTACTTCTAGACACTGCTCAGGTCCCCTCTCAGCCTTCTCTTCTCCAGCTGAACAGGCCCAGCTCCCTCAGCCTCTCCTCATAGGGCAGATGTTCCAGGCCCCTGATCATCCTCGTAGCCCTGCGCTGGACTCTCTCCAGCAGCTCCACATCCCTCTTGTACTCCTGCCTTTCACATGTTTGACTGGAGTTTGTTCTCCTTACCACATGAGGGGAGAAAACATTTGTGGAAGGTGACGTGGTGCAGAACTTGTGTTTTCCTACAGGTGTTCCTCAAGCCAGCTCACTATAAGGATTCCAGCTTCTTTCTACCCTTTCTGAGGAGGGCTTGCTCTTTTAGCAAGCACGAATTTGGGAGAAGGGTAGAGGTCATGGAGAGAATGACAGAAAGGAGTGTAATAAGTGTGAGTGTCTCTGCTTTAACCCATGTAGACCCAGAGAGGGGTGCTCACAGTGGGCTACACAGCACTTTGGAAATTAAAGCTAAAATTGCTGCTTTTCCCCTCATTCCCATTTCTTTTTCAGTACAGAGACAGCCTGTGAACCTCAGACCCAAAGACATCTGTGATGCTCATTCATGCTTGGGTGAAGTCCCCACAACAGGGAATGGGCTGTGTGGATTAAAAAATGCAACAGTGTTATCACGTCCCACATTTTATAATTTCTTCTTTTTAGTTGTTCACGCACATATTACATCTTCCTTGCTTGTAGCTGATGAACTTAAGTGCCTGCTGTTCACCTGCATGGTTAGAAATGAGAAGCTTGAGTCCCTGTGTTGGTTCTGGCTATATGGTCTGAGACCCTTGGGGAAGTTGCCTAATTCCTCCCTAAACTGAATTCAATTATCTTTAAGCTAAGGCAGTGGTTTGCCAGCAATGAGGCCCGTCTCCATAGAGAGCTAAAGCAATATTCCACACGAGGTGGGACCCCGTGGGCAATCTGTGGGCATTTCACCCTGAGCTTTGCGTTGTTGTCACTTGCAGTGGGAATTTGGGAGTTAGGGCAAAGGGTGGCAACAACTTGTGGGGCTGAGGCAGAGAGGAATAGAGAAAGAAAGAAAAAAGAAAAAGGTAGGACTGAGTGCCAAGTGTGGAAACATTGAACTAAAAGGCAGTGTTAGCACAATAGATGAGTGTAAATTGGCTTGAATAAATCCAGTTGGAAGCTGGATTTCTCACAAGAGAACAAGGAGGTTTTGGGACCGCTTTCCAATATAATAGCGGATGCGGGAAAGCCTTTTTTGTTTTTAATGTATGGATGCTGGTAAGCTGTGAATAAGATTGAGATGTGAAATAACAGAGTGCTGGATTCAGTAATAAGAAATCTTTGCTTCTGTGGTAATTTGCTTTGAATTGGTGGGGCAGCATGACCCTATTGGCTTTCATTCTTCTAACACACTCTCTTCTCCTCTAGATTGTTGACTGAACTCGAATCTCCTTCTTGGTGGCCATTTAGCAGCAAGCTCTGGAAAGCACCGTTGGAAGCCAAGCCAAAGGAAACTGCCACAGTTTCCGATTCAAAGAACCAGGAAGGAATCATAATTAGAATTCCAGTTATTATCACCCACAGAACAGACTCAAATGTCAAGCCAGGAAAACTCACGCTCCTCGCTTCTGGCCTGGAAATCAGTGACTGCAATTCCCAGGTCATTCACAGGTTTGAATCCAAAGATGTAGATGATATCAGAGTTCATACACCGTATGAAATCAGCGTTCGCCAGAGGTTTATTGGGAAGCCCGACACCTCCTACCGGCTGTTGTCAGCAAAGATGCCCGAAGCCATCCCAATCCTGGAGATGCAGTTCAGCAAGAAGATACAGTTCTTGGAAGATGCCCTGGAATTTGCTGGTGCCAGAAAGTCGCCCCAGGTAGACTTGGGCACCTCCATTTGGCAAGCAGGTAGGTGACCGACGGCAATCCATCAGTGATCAAAAGCAGCAGCTCTGAAAGCTCCCAAGTGGTTTTCAGGCTCAGAGTATTGAGTGATGTTCACAGGGAAGGTCTTTCCTCCCTGCCCTAGCAGTGAGACTGTGTTGCTGGTAAAAAGCAAGAAGTAACTGCAAGTTGGTGCTAGGCACTCCTGGCCAGAGGAGAGGTGTGAGGGTAGAGGTGACAGAACTGTGTGGTCCTGTTTGGATGTAGTTGGATTTATTTTCTCAGGGGCACTTTTACAAAACCTGTGAGTGTAGGTGCTGAATCTGAGGTGTCCATAGGGGCCTGACTGCTGGAACGTGCCAAGCGCTCTTTGACATGCTCCCAGCTGCTGTTTTCACTAACTCTGCACCACTTTTGAGAAGGATTAGCTTCATCTGAGTTTTTCAGCTGCTGCATTTCAACTCCAATGTCCGTAGGGACCTGGCTGCTGGAACGTGCCAAGCGCTTTTTGACGTGCTCCCAGCTGCTGTTTTCACTAACTCTGCACCACTTTGTGAGAAGGATTAGCTTCATCTGAGTTTCTTTCAGCTGCTGCATTTCAACTCCAGTGCCCCCTTTTTCTTCCCCCCGCTCCCAGTGTCACCAGTTCCATATTATGGTCCTCTGTGGAAGGGGTAAATCGCCCCTCCTCACTTGACTGCATTCTCCAGAGTGCTTCAGGGTCCTGTGTTTTAGCTTTTTTACTCTTGGCAGTTTTGTAGCTGGAAGCATCTCTGCATGAAACCTGTTTTCCAGCTAATTGCAGAAAGCTTAAAACCAACTTCCAATTCCACAAGTTTTTAAATTGCATGTGGGATAAATACTATGCTAATTTTCCTTTTTTTTTTTTAAAAAAAGATTTTAGTAGTTTTAGAAGTTTATGTTTTTTGGATTACAAAAGAAACGGAGTTTAGTTTTCTTAGATTTTAGATCTCTGGTGAAATGAATGCATAGTTCAGTTGTTTTAAGAAAACACAGCAGGAACTGAAACCCTTCACAACAGTAATAAAATTATTATTGTCTTTTCTGAGGTTCTGTATGATTTTTTTTTCTTTTTTGTAATCTAAGCCTGGATTCCCTTGGAGAGCTGGTGAATATGTGTCTTTAAGAATTTAATTCTCTAAAAATAAGAGTGGAAGTTCTCTTTTTCTTAATGGTCAGGGACAGAAGAACAAATCTGTGAATGAATTTATTGCTGCCATGTTAAAAATGGGGAGAAAAATGCTATAGTAAAATAATGGAAGAATCTGTTTCAGTGCAGCAAGCTAAAACTAGACTTTAGCAGGGAGGATAAGGTTCTCTTGTTGACGAGTTGTCGAGGGCCATAGCTTGGAAAAGCTTGTTAATTTTTAAGGAAATAAGTCTTGGGCATCTGGCACTAAAATGTCAGCACAACAACTTAGAGGAAAAACAACCTGCTGGTTTCTTAAGCACTGAGTTATTCCAGCAAATTGGTGCTCAGTTCCTGATGGTCTTAAGGCTGGTTACATAAAATAATTGGTTGTACAGCCCTACTGTGCTTAATTTCCCACTGCTCCACTCTGTTTGCATCTGAGTCAGTGAGTCAAGGATATTGCTCTCCTACCCCCACCTGCATTTGGGCTGTTTAATTTGGAAATGTCAGGGAAGGGAGCCGGAGGTTATGGAAATCATGACTTCTCCAGCTCCACCAAAACCCTTGTTTGTTCCTTCCCCGGCGCCTGTCGCTCCCGGCCTTCAGTCACAAGATGGCAGTAACCGACTGTGTTTTAAACTCTGGGTTTTTTCCATGGCTGCTTACGTGGTGGAAATAGCGATTTTTTTTTTCTTCCCTAAAAGAAGGGGGCAAAAAACATCCGTCTATGCACAGAGACAGGCATGCATAATGCACATAAAATTTGTGTGTTTTCAGGTAGCAAACATGGATTTGGAGGCCTAGAGGAGACGCATCCTTGCAGGGGAGGTAGTTTGGTTCGTGGCATTCGCTGCTCCTCGTTGTGCCCATCTGTGCAGGGAGCATTTTGGCTGTCGTAGGATCACCCAGATCCTGCCTGTTTTCACAAGCAGCGCTGTAAAGCTGGGCACCTTGCACGTTTGCACAAATAAATGCAACCCAACCGCCTTTGCTAGGGGGTTTTGGCTTGATTTCGTGTAGGAAAAGCACGTCTCGAGTGTTTTGTACACACTAGATTATCCGAAGCTATTTTAAACTGCTTTGCATTTCTTTTCCGACGGGCTTCCTCTGGACTAAGTCGCACGGGGCTTTTCGTGGCACGCTAAGGACACAGCACAGCAAGGTCTGTTTTGTAAGAGGTGCTGGGTGGAAGCAGCACCTTTCCCCACCGACGTGTTCCGTGGTGGTTAGATAAGGTGCATCTGGGAACTGGCATTTGTAGCTTTTTTTTTTTAATCCCTTTCAAAGTTCCCAAATGTTTGCTGCTGACCACCGTGACCGAGGGCTCCTGTTGGTTTGAGCTTCCAGTGTTTTGCTCAGAAACTTGGTGGTTTCTCATCCTCACATGGTGGCAATGCAACAGTCCAGTTCTGTGCCACAAAACTAAGCAAAATTTGTTCTTCGATCTATTCTAAACGTTTCTGCCTTTACATTCAGTTTTTCCCTCCTTTGTGTTAGCAAAATGAAGAGAAAGGCCTGAGCTCATTTTTGGCTGTTTCACCTTCTCATCCTCAGTAAAATGAATGGGGCGAAATGGATAGATTTCTTCTTTTTAACGAAATAATTAGTGTACAGGGACATTGAGCTGATAAGAACCACAAAGAATCTTGCCTGGCTGTTTGCAGTAGGAAAACCTGCCGTTCCCTCCCCCAGTTTGTCCTCCGTGGGAGATCACAGCAGTAATTTGCCATAAGCAGTGCTTGGTTCCTAGCCCCTCCAAACACAAGAGGCATTTGAGCCGGGTAACAGCAGCACAGTGAATGATTTGCCTGTCTTAAATCTTGAGTCCAGTAACTCTCAGACTGATAACCGAATAATTCCCCGGATTATGATTTTTGCAGTAATTACTTGAGAGGGATTTAGGGTTTGGTCCTGGTGTTTTTGCTTTTGTCTCCCTTTCCATGGGGCGGTAATGCTGTCCGGAGCCCCCGAGCGTTAGGTCGCTGGCCAGTTTGGCACCAGCTCTTTGATCTTGCCGTGAGCTCTTGCCTCCAGATTTCTGTCCTGGCGTCCTCAGCGGTTGCTGGCCCTGTTCTGTGCAAGGTGGGGTGATATTCTTGCAGGTGGCAGCGAGGGAGCATTAGCCTCCTTCCTTCTCTTCAGATGGGAGAGCACTTTGGAGATGGCTGGAGCACCTCTGGAAGCCGAGATGTTCAACTCGGGTATTTAGCACCCATCTGCATCAGATATAACAGCCTTTTCTTGCTGTGATATCCCTGCCACCCTCCTGGGTATCAGGTATCAGGTAGTGCAACAAGAGCTGAGGCTTTAAATAAAGGTTTAAATAAAGCTTATGCCAGGAATTGCATCCCTGCGGCTTCGCTGGGGGTGGCTGCTGGTGTTGGGTTTGGCCTTCTGTTGCACAGGTTTGCTGACTTGGCCCTTGGCCTCTGTCCCCAGTCACCATCTTTAAGTTCTTTAATTTAAAAGATTAAAGCAAGGAGAAGCAGCAGATGAAGGTTCTTCATCTGTCCGATTGGGAACGTCTCGCTGCTGCTTTTCCTCTGCTCAGATGAATGCCCAGGGCATGAAGTAAACCCATTCTCCAGGTGTTGCCTTGCTGCTCAGAGCACAGATCGCTGGTTGCTGTTACCACTGGTCCTCTTAGCTAGGACAGGAGGTGGCAGTCTGTGACCACGGGAATTTCTCTTGCAGCCACAGGACTCCTGGGAGGCGTGATGCAGCCCGGATCTCCGGTGGGAGGAGAAGGGATGGACAATGAGCAGGTCCAGCTGCAGAGTCACGAAAAGATCTCCGAGTCGGAAGCAAAAGAGCTGAAACAGGTAGAGTTGAGATAACCCTGTCTGTGGTTGTATGAACTGGTTGTTTCACTCCCTTTTCTTAGTAATACTCATATCTTTTGTTCATCAAAAACAGTCTTCTGTCCTTAACACAATATTCCCTGACTGTAGATGGACGTATTAAAAAAACCAGCCTAATCTGTGATTAAAATACATTGATAATCTCCTGTTTTTTTTTAATTATTTTGTACAGACTGGGAGCTATCAGCAGGCCAAACATATTACCAAGAAGAAAACCCCTTTAAAAAAGTTTAAGCTGTTTCCTCTGAAGATTAAAAAGTTTAACAATTAGACTGATTGCTTCAAGCTCTCTTATGTTTTCTTTATTCAATCTTACTCCTTTTACTAAAGAGTAGCCGCTCATTTTCAGCAATATCTGAAAAACTGAACAAAGTGTTTTGTAAACATACAAAGAGAAGCTATAGGGGGGAATTAAGTGTGAAATCTAACACGGAGATAGAAAAGGAAAAGTGTTTGGAGACTCTACCAGGAAAAAGTTACTTAATGCAGTCTGGTACTGTTCCTCGAAATGTCTCCTTAAGGATCTTCTCTTGTAGCTGATGTTTAGAGGCTTTTTAGTGAAGCCTTCTCTATCCATAGTGTGTGGTGGATTTGAAAAAGTGAGCTAACTAGAACAAATCCAAGAAAAGTGGCTTTTACTTGTTTTCCAATTAAAATAGATTTGCTGATGGTGATTATAACCTCATCAGAATATGTGGTTACAGGCTAAAGATTATTCTTGAAGTACGCTCTTATTTTATTTTTTTACAGCATCTGATTCTCTCTTTAATATTCTGTCTGTAGCTTAGCAATAGCATCATGCAAAGTGTTTGCTAACCCTATTGCCTCTCGGTCTAGACAGCAGTTTTGCAGCCTCGTCTTTTATTTTATAGTTGGGAATCCGAATACAGCAGCTTTGTATAGCTGAGTGCATTTGAGAGGCACGAGCTGATGGCAGTGACTAAAGAGTAACTAAAAATGTCTTTTTCTTTAGTCTGTTGTTGATAGGTGAATACACTTTGCACAGCTGTCATGTCGTTGTTCCTCTCTCAAACATTGGCTTTTCGGCACTATAATTCTGACTTGCATCCAGAGCTGGGTGCTCAGCACTGTGTGGAGGGCTGCTGGCCACGAAGGGCTGTGAAGATGCACATGGTGCCTACCAGGGAAGGCAGACTGGAAAATCATGTAGTTTGGGTGTTTTCTAATGGGATTCATGACGAATGCCAAAGCCTTTCAGCTGGGGTACACTTAGTCTTGCAGGATGCCCTCTTGGCTTTAGAGATACAGAGCTTGAAACTCCATTTGGCTAAGCCTTTTAGTGGAGAACTATGGTATATTAAGGATGTGGATTTTTTATCCATATTCCTTCATTTTGTAATGGGCTAGCAGGTTAAGCCCATAAAGAGAAGTCAGAGCAGGGAAGTAAGAGCCTTCACTCTTGTTTTCAGCTCTGTCACCTTAAGTCCTGATTGAGGATGTAGGGTTCTCCTTGCTGAGGTGCAGTCTGCTGCTCTGTCCCTTTGTAGACGTTTCAAACACATCAAACAAATGGGCAGCACATGCAGCCGCCGGGGCCTGCACCAAGGGCTCCTCTGTTGTTACAGCTGCTCTTGAGATGCTTTGCACCACCTCAGTTCCTCTGCTTTGCAAATGAGCAGGAAATGGTGGGTGATCATATTTGCAAGGCGTTTAGAGATCCAGGGTGAAAATTGTTTTAAATAGAGGGTGTTAATGTGCGCTGGAGACAGTGACAACTGTAACATCACACTTCTGTGAGCTGAAGGTACGTGGGGTCTCTGTGTTGGTAACTATGCACTTTTCTGAGCCGTTTCCTTTCTTGAAGATTCTTTATCATAGTTTATTCCTTGATAATCTTTAATGCAAGCTTGAGTTCTTTTGTTTAAAAAAACAAAAAATCCCAAATCCAGAAAAGCCCTGTTCTAACCCTCTCATTACTTGTAATGTGTAGAAGACCCGTAGAATGTTTTAAATTGGAGAAGCAAGAGGAATTTGTGATAAATAGATAATATTCTTTCCCATTGCTTAGTTTTCTCTCTGGTTGACTTACCTTCCCTTCAAAAAGATCTTACAGTGATAACAGGAGACTTTTTGCAGCAGATCTTGCTGACTAGTGTCCAAATTCCTTCTGTTAGAGCTGGAAGCACTGAGCAGACCAGCGCTGTGATGGGGAGCCTGGGTAAAAGACCTCGCCAAGGCTTCACGAAGGGACATTGGTGTGACAAGCACAGCTGGTGGCAGCGTGAGCTGCCCTCCTTAGCAGTGTGACGGAGATGGAGAGCACAAGGAAGCCCATGGAGCTCCTGTGCTTCTGCCCAGTGCCTCGCTGTCACTCACATAGTG